CGCCGCAGGCCAAACCGCCATGGACCCCGCGCAGTACGTGCGGCGCGGGGGGAGGCGGACCGCGTACCCATCCCACTCAAGAGGGGCCATCACAGGCGCACCTCACCCGGCTCGAGGCCAGCGGAAGCGCTCGTGCTGTGAAGAGGGGCCGTCATGGGCCTGAGAAGCTCAACGTCTCCCTCAACGCGGCTCGGCACCAGATCCGCATCGTGGCGGTCCTCGGAGCGGGCATCATGGCCGCTCACCACGGCTAACCAACGCTTTACGTTTTCATTGGATACATTCCATGTGTAGCCGGCGGCGCCTATCCAGCGCAGATCCAACATATTCGCGCGGAGCTCATAAAATTGATGTGTGCGCCATTTGTTTTCCGCTCTCTGCAATGCTTTGTAGGCCGTCTGCGAAGCACCGCCACCTTCTTGGAAGGCTAATGTCCACTCTCACTTCCCCCCTCGGCGCGCCGCAGACTCCTGCGGACAAGAAGCTGGCACTCCGGGGTCCAGCGCAAACAAGCTCCATTCTGGCCCGGCCCATCCTGAGCCCAGGATCGGTGCATACGCCCTCCGACCTTGGCCAGGAAGGCACATGCACCGATCCTGGGTCAAGGATGGACCTTGCCAGGATCGGTGCATGTGCATACCCAGAGATCCGACGTCGTGATTTTTTCAATACGGGGTCCCCAGAAGTCTCGACCCATTCCCCGGGACCAGTTTCTCATCCCGAGTCGTTTTTTGGTGGTCCTGGGGCCCGGCGAGGGCCCCTCGAGGCCGAAAAATACGAAAAACCTCCGTCTTATTTTTTTCAATGCGTTGGATCTCTGGGTAGTTCTCTTCGCCCGAAACCTACCCTGCCGCGGCCCGTGCACCGCAGGCGGGGCACCCGGAGGCCTCCCTCCGCCCAGCAGCGGCTACCGCGCGCGGGCGGCCGCACGGGCCGGCCGCGGGCTGTGCTGCCCTCGCCACGCCGCCGCACGGAGACGCCCATCGACCAGCGGGCGCCATGGGGGAACCCTACCCCATTCAGATATCTCTTCGCCCATAGGGCACCAGTAGGGGGCCACATGCGAACCCTACCCCTGCCCCCCACGACTTCTGAGGGGGAGGGTGGGGTTCACTTCGTCTGGGAGCTCCCGAGCGAAGTGGACCCCACCCTCCCCCTCAGGAAGCGTGTGGGGCAGGGGTAGGGTTCGCACGTGGTCCCCGGACCAGGGGCTCAGAGTGCCCCGGCAAACACCTCTTCGCCCATGCCGCAGCTGCCTGCGCCCCCCGGGCGCCCTGCCTGCAACGCGCGGGGGGGGGGGGCACCGGGCGACACAACATCAGGCTGGTGCGAGCAGGTGGGCCGCGCCCTGGCCTTCGGTCCCCCAGCAATGTCTCTGCCCGGGAAGGAGCCAGCTTGGAGCCCCGCGTTCTGCACCCTCGCCGCATGCGAGGCGGCACAAAGTCGGGCTGGTGCGATCGGGTAGGCCGCGCCCTGGCCTTCGGTCCCCCAGCAATGTCTTTACCCCCGGGAAGGAGCCAACTTGGACCCCCCCGTTCTGCACCCTCGCCAACTGCGCGGCGGCCGCGCACGCGCGCGCAGCCCAGGCACTGGGGCTCGCCCGACGGATTTCGCAGCCCATCGGGCCGCCAGGAAAGGGAGGCCCCAGCCTCCTGGCGATGACTCCCACAGAGGCGCCCCTGCGAGAAGAGAAGGCCTATCACGCCGCATACCTCAAACAGGCCTTCGGGAGGCACGTTCGGGAAGTACGTCAGACTCGCCGTCGCTCGGACGTCCATTCCCTGTGTTTTGTTCGGTTTCGTGCGTGGCTTTTTTCCGCCAAATAATCAAGGATGCTCCTCGATGGTCCTCACCGAAGGAAAAATGCACACGTCCGAGCGATGCCAAGCAGAAGACGGGCTGAGGATAGTTCACCAGCACCGCTCGAAATGGAATTCGCAGGCCACTGCAAAACCCAGGCTCCCCCTGTGGCATTCCAGAACGCCTCGTCCGACCATCGCGCGCCCGTTGTGCGCGCAGAACGCCGCTCGCTCTTCCTCGTTGGACTCTGACTTGGTGAAGCCTTGAGATCTGACGTTGAAGCCTCTGACTTGCTGAAGCCCTTGATGAATATTCTCGCCTTCTCGGGCTTCCGACAGACGAAGACACGGCCGCAGAGGCCTCCAATGCAGCCCCAAGACAGCTTCAAAGCCCCCGGACAGGCCAAGGGGACCCCAAGACAAACCAGACCTCCAAGACTACCCTGAAGCGCCCAAGGAGGAACCCACGACAGCCCAGAGAGGCCCCCAAGACGGCCTCCGAAGGCCACGATAACCCTGAGAGGCCCGTCAGAGGCCCCCAAGCCCCCAGGAGGCCCCACGAGGGCCTCGAGAGGCGTCCCCTTCCTCCTCGTCCTCCTCCTCCTCCTCCTCCTCCTCCTCTTCCTCCTCCTCCTCCTTCCTCCTCCTCCTCCTCCTCCTGCTCCCCGGCTTTCGTTCATTTTGGGGACCTCCTTTCTCGTCCGCTCTCAAGGGTCAGCCCAGGGGGGTCCACAACGGCCGTGGGAACACTTGGCCAATAACGTGGGACCACGTAGGCCCAACGCTTGGACACAGGAGGCGGCGGAGGTTCGTCGTCGGCGCCTTCGATACCATGCTAGGGTGCCAAGCTAGTGCGTCACGCTTGTACTTCACGCGAGTGTGCCACGCTAGTACGCCTTGTCTAGATGCTTGTACGTCGCGGTAGGATGTCACGCTGACGTGCCGCGCATAATACCGTTTCTGAAGGGGCCCTGGGACACACAAATAAATAGACACAAATAACAGGATTCCCCATCTTTTCCCATATTTTCTGGGCGTTCGTCTTCCCCCCCACTTCCCACATGTTCCCCATATTTTCTGGGGAATCGACGATTGATTGTGTCTGTGTGTTTTTTCCCTCCTGAGTTTCGCGTGGACAGTTGCTCAGTCCCCCGAGGCTCAGATGCCGTTCGGAGGCAACTCATGGGAGGTCGTCGCCGGAATGATCAAGGAAGATTAAGCCCCATTGGGGGCTCCTACCCCGGATTAGCCCGCGGATGGAGCGGCATGAAGCCGGATTGCACGGGAGTAAGCCGGATCAATTGGGATCTAGTCAGATGAAGCCTGATTTCGGACCAGGGCAGACTCAAAACTTGACCTCTCAGGAGCTGCATCCGACATGTCGCACACTCTTCGCAGCTCAGTCCCCCAGGCTCAGACACCACACGTCAACAACAACACTTGGCAAGCCACTCAGCGCCATTAAAAGCTCACACAGGCTCCGAACGGCGGGCGCAAGCGCACGCCATCAGCATATGCCAAATCAGGGGCCTCCCGCCGATTCCGCTCCTCCTCCTCCTCCTCCTCCTCCACCTCCTCCTCCTCCTCCTTTTCCACCTCCTTCTCCTTCTCCTCCTTTTCCTTCTTCTCCTCCTCCTCCTCCTCCTCCTCCTCCTCCTCCTCCTCCTCCTCCTCCTCCTTCTCCTCCTCCTCCCCCTCTTCCTCATCCTCCTCCTCCTCCTCCTCCTCCCTCACCTCCTCCTCCTCCCCCTCATCCTCCTCCTCCTGCTCCTCCTCCTGTCCCTCCTCTCATCTTTTTACCCGCTGGTCGTCCTCATCACCGCTCCCGTACCCCCCCACCTCCTGACCTCTTTCCTTGTACCCATCCCCATGCAAAAAATTATCCCGGCAAAGCAACCTAACAGCGATATGTAGAAGCATATCTGAAAGCATTCCCCTTAAGATTCAGATGAAAATCCAGTTGTAGAATTCTGCTGTTCTCGCAGTCGTAGTCGCATTCGCGATGACAGTCGCAGCGGCAACGGCAGTCGCAGTCACAGCAGTCAGCCTCAGCCTCAGCCTCAGCCCTCAGCCTCAGCCTCAGCCTCAGCCTGCCTCAGCCTCAGCCTCAGCCTGCTTCAGCCTCAGCCTCAGTCTGCCTTCAGCCTCGGCCTCAGCCTCAGCCTGCCTCAGCCTCAGCCTGCCTCGGCCGCAGCATCAGCCTGCCTCAGCATTCAAAATGTGGCCCAGGAATGGAGTTCTGGGAACTAGAAGAACACGAAGTGGCCTACAGTTGGCTCCGGGCATTCAAAATCATGCCCAGGAATGGAGTTCTGGGAACTTGAAGAGCACGAAGTGGCCTACAGTTGGCTCCGGGCATCCAAAATGTGGCCCGGGAATGGAGTTCTGGGAAATCGAAGAGCACGAAGTGGCCTACAGTTGGCTCCGGGCATCCAAAATGTGGCCCGGGAATGGAGTTCTGGGAACTCGAAGAGCACGAAGTGGCCTACAGTTGGCTCCGGGCACTCAAAATGTAGCCCGGGAATGGAGTTCTGGGAGGTCGAAGAGCACGAAGTGTGTGACTGTTGACGAAAAACGAGCCCGGCTCTGTTCCCGGTTCTCCAGAATGTGGCCCGGGAATGGAGTTCTGGGAGGTCGAAGAGCACGAAGTGTGTGACTGTTGGCGAAAAGCGAGCCCGGCTCTGTTCCCGGTTCTCCAGAATGTGGCCCGGGGAATGGAGTTCTGGGAGGTCGAAGAGCACGAAGTGTGTGACCGTTGGCGAAAAACGATTCCCGGTTCTCCTCCCCGGCACCCGCCCAGACCCCCCTGAGGAGTCATGATGCTCTCTTTTGACCCTCCTAGAAACCTATCAGCAAACGCTGTTAGGTAAAAATCAAACCAAGAACGAGACAGAAATTGGGCCGGGACAAATCGGGGATCGATCCCTGCGACCTAGCGGATCTGGAAGATGCTTCGGGCAGCGCGGCCGCTGCAGAGAGCGCTCCAGAACGATCTGAGTGAATTCTGGAACGCCCTGGGAAGATTTATCCTCGTCGACGTCGACGTTGACGTCGATTTCGACGTCGTCGTCGTCGTCGCCGTCATCGTCGTCGTCATCGTTGTCGTTGTCGCCTGCGTCGTCGTCGTCGTCGTCGTCGTCGTCGTCTGCGTCGTCGTCGGGGTCCTGATCTGCCCGACGCCCCGTCGCTCCTGAGGGCGCCACGTACAGCCCCGGCAGGTTCGCCCGGAAGGCGGCCCAGAGCTTCCTGGGCGGCAGTCTCGCACGCCGCCCGGCTGGCCCGCCTGCTGAGGCCCTCGCAGCACGATCTGTCGTTGGCATGCGGTCGGGGCGTTGACCTAAGGAACCCCAAAAAAGGAACGAGGCCCCTTTTTTCCATGAGTGAACCTTCGATTTCCCGTCGAAAGCATAAGGACAGCCTGAGGCAAGCTGGGAAACACTTGAGGAACGCGGAGCCCCTCCCCAAAGAAAAAAGGGTTCCTTGTTCAGGGCCCCGACGGTGCTCTCATTTCTCCCCGTGCCCTCCCTGGCTGCAGTGGCACGCGCCCGTGTGCTCTGACTTCTCCCGTGCGTCCCTGGGCGGCAGTCGCACGCTCCCCGGCTGGCCCTTCTGCCGATACCCCCGCAGCACCACCTGGTCGTTGACACGCTCTTGTCTCTCCCGTGCCCTCCTCTTGCGACGACCGTCCTCGTTACGTTAATGCTCCGAACTCCCTGGCACCATCGTTCATCACCGCCTGCCATCTTCTGTCGTTGACATGCTCTTGTCTCTCCCGTACCCTCCTCTTGCGACGACCGTCCTCGTTACGTTAATGCTCCGAACTCCCTGGCACCATCGTTCATCACCGCCTGCCATCTTTCTTCTCGTGGCATCTGCACTCCCGACGAGCATCTTCCCCTGCTGCTGCCGCTACTGGGGCGGCTCCTCCCCCCTCCACTCCTCCTCCCCTCATCCTGCTTCTCCTCCTCCTCCTCCTCCTCCTCCTCCACTCGATTTGCCTCCTCAAACTCAACACAAACCTTGGAGTTTTTGTGCCGTGCAAATCGACGCACCGTCTCGTGCAATCGGCTTGAGGAGCCGAAAGGCAACACGAGTTGTATCCAAATGCTGGCCGCACAGCGCAGCTCAGTGTTCCCGATGCGTGAGCGAAAGAGTCTGTGGGTAAAAAGCACACAGTCTGTGTGCTTGTTACACACACACAGTGTGTGTGTGTGTGTGTGTGTGTGTGTGTGTGTGTGTGTGTGTGTGTGTGTGTGTGTGTGTGTGTGTGTGTGTGTGTGTGTGTGTGTGTGTGTGTGTGTGTGTTTTACCCACCGTGTTTTTTTACCCACAGGTCCAGCTCACTAAAATTAGGGGAATCTTCTGCGGTTGAAGATACAGCGGGCTGTGAGAGGGCTCGTGGACGGGGCGCGGGTCGTCCTGCCTGCCCGGTCAGACGACAGCCCGCCTTCTTGTCGGCATAATCTGGCTGGAGCGACCCTCCCTCGTAAAAACCTAGGGCGCTGCAACCAAACCTCGCCAGGGCTTCCAGGAGTGTGGAGGAAGTCGGGGAGGGAGGGGGGGGGGACCAGGGGAGGGGGGGGGGGCACTAGCATCGTAGTCACGCCAGCGCTCTCAAACGGGGGCAGTGCGTGCGCGTGCGCGCGCGAGCGTGCGCGTGCGTGCGCGTGCGCGCGTACGCGTGCGCGCGTGCGCGTGCGCGCGCGCGTGCGCGTGCGCGCGCGTGCGAGCGTGCGCGTGTGCGCGTTTGCGCGTGTGCGCGCGCGTGCGCACACGCGCGCAGGCTCGGGCGCGAGCCGAGCCCGAGCGTGAGCCGAGCCCGAGCGCGAGCCCGACCCCGAGCGCGAGCTGGAGACCGAGCCCCGGCCCGAACCCCATCCTGAGCGCGTGCGCGCGCGTGCGCGTGCGAGCGGCGAGCAGTATGTTCACACGCGGTCAAGCGCTTCAGTACCAACACTGTTCACTGAACTGTAGCCACGGAGTGGCAATCTACAAAGCAAGATGACGAGAACGTCCAGGTTATCAAAGAGGAGAGGGGGAGGGAGCAGCGAGAAAAGGAGGAACGAGGACAGAGCGAATCGAGCGCATCCTCGTGGATCAAGCGATTCTTCCGAGCACGGACAAAACTCACAAGACAATGGAGCCGATAACCTCAAAAAATGCGTATGCACCAGGCAAGCATGATGTCACATGATCGTCGCAATGGCCAAACGACAAACTTTGGGAAACTATCCCGCCGTGTCTGCATGCGGCGCGAAGCTCTGCAGACGCGCGCTGAAACATAGTGCACACGAGACAACATACGCTGAAGACATTTCGCGCCAAATATGGTCCAACGGATATATGTGTACACGTTCGGTACAATGAAATTCGCCGACCTCTTGGGGTTCATCGGCGTGTGAGATGCTTCCCTCTCCCCACACCCCTCCCCTGGGAGCCTGGTCAGGTCGATTTGCATTGGGGGGGGGGCGGCACAAGAGAGCCTCAAGACAGCCCAAAAGGGCTCCAAGAGGGCCCCAAGAGGGACCCAAGAAGGGGACCTCGAATGACAAATTCTAGCTTTCCGTTCCAAGAGGCCCCCAGGAGGCCCCAAGAGGCCCCCACAGGGCCCCAAGAGGCCCCCAAGAGACCCCCAAGAGGCCAAAAGGCGGCCCCAAGAGGCCCCCAAACAGCCCCCCAGAGGCTTCCAAGCTGCCTCGGGCAGGCCCCCGAGAGGCTTCTCACGAGATCCTAACGAACATCCAAGAGGCCTCTGAACCACAACCCAGGCACGGTGGCGGGATGGCCGAAGGCCACTAGAGATCCGCTGCCCCCTGTTGATTCATCTCTGGGGTGCCCGGCGTGCTGAATCATTTCGCTTTTGGTTTTGGTTCTTTTTCCCAAAGAACTCCCCCCCTGGGGTTTCGGCCCCGCCCGCGGGGATCCCGGAGTGGCGCGGAAAGGATGATTCCAACAATTTGTCCTGCTCCAGATGGCTACATGATGGCTTCCAAGATGGCTTCCAAGATGGCCTCCAAGTCCGCCCAAGATGGTCCAAGATGTCTCCAAGACGGCTCAAGAGAGTCCAAGATGCCTTCAAATTCGTCCAAGAAGGCTCCAAGACGGCCCAAGATGGCTCCAAAATGGCCTAAGACTGCCCAAGAGGTCCCCAAGAGGCCTCCAAGAGCTCCACCAGGAAGGCCCGAAGAGGCCAACATCATTGATTGTCCTTCGTTTTTTTCAGGATTTTGGCATTTTCTTCTTTCCAGCTCTCCGACGGCCCAAGATGGCCCAAGAGGCCCCCAACATCGCCCCAAGAGCGCCCGAGAGGACTCCAAGCTGGCCCCATGACGGGCCGAGAGGCCCCCATGAGGGCCACAACAAGACTGCAAGACGGCCCAAGAGGCCCCCATGACGCCCAAGATGGCCTCCAAGACGGCCAAGATGGCCTCCAAGATGCCTCCAAGACGGCCAAGAAGGCCTCCAAGACGGCGAAGATGGCCCCAAGATGCACCCAGGACGGCCCCAGATGGCCTGAAGATGGCCTTAGACTGCCCAAAAGGCCTGCCAGAGGCCTCCAAGACGGCCCAAGACCCGTCCAAGGAGTCCTCAAGGAGGCCAGAAGGCTCGGAAACAACCTGGCCCGATAGCTCGCCCCACTCCGTGTTCCCCGAAGGCTTTCGAAACCCACTCGGGGAACTCGTGGCCCGATAGATTGGCCAAACTCAAACCCAACTTTCGGCCACGCAGGCGCTTCCAAAAAGGCAGGGGGCGGCGGTGATTCGCCATAGGCGTCTTCGATAGATACAAGCATAAGTCACGCACCACCCAGAAGTAGCAACAGCGACTCTCCCCCAAGGGGTCGGCGGTGCGGCGTAAGCCAAATAGTAATTGATGAATGGCACGTTCTGTACTGAAGCAACGGGTCCCTGAAAGCCGAGTGAACAGCTGTTGCATGTATAGGTTGGTAAGACATGCCAAGCTCAGAGCAGCCTTGGTCGACTCGGTTGAGCAGAACTACATCGGATATAGAAGAAGCCAAACCAATCTACAATAGCTAAGGAAAAACACGGATGAGCTATCTCGACGGCCTGTTTGCGCTGATACCTGCTTTGATTTGACAGGCGCCCCCTTTTGTTTCACAACTAATGCTTCACTACTGCGTTTATCATGAAACCCTTCCTGAAATACATCCTGGATGGGCTGGCAAGGATAAGCCAAGTGTTAATAAGTCCTGCGGATATCCACAGCGAGAAAACGATCTCGAAAACGGCCGCTCTCCACCAGTAGAGCTGTTGGACGTTTCCAGCCTTGGGAAAGCAACGCGCGACGAAGTCCCAAGCTAAACGCCTGGGCTGGCCTACTGTCAAGTCCAGCTCCGGCGGCTCAGTGTATGCTAAGCGATGTCGGAAGCTTTTGGGATGATGCTATCGACCCCGACCTCCCTGATCCGCATCGGCAGATGGGGGCCCTCAACCATCGCACCTTCTGGAGGGTGGGAGCTGTCTGCCAACGGCAACTTGAGCCTAATAACCGGTCGAGACAGCCGAAAGGCGCATCGGAGTCGAATTGAACACAAGGGAAGAAAGAAACTCCGCGGGGGGAAGAGGAAATCGCGGGTGGCGGAGCACGAGCAGACCGTAAATATCTTGCACGTGCTGCAGAAACTTACACGGGCAGCGAGCCGGCGGGAGCATGAAAGCACGCAAAAGGGTGGACGGGAGGGTAAGAGCAGAAGGCGGAAGGGAGAGCCAGAAAAAGAAACATATTGGAAGAAACATATTTGTTCGTGCGCACGTAAATGTTTGAACATATACATATGGAAAGAAAGAGATGGGAAGAGAGACATAATGAAATGTAGACAACAAAGACAAAGAGAGAGGGAGAAAGAGAAAGAGAGAGAGAGAGAGACAGACAACCATAGCGAGGGAACGAGAGAGAGACGCATACATAAGCACAACCGGCCTAATATACATGTGTGTTTGCCCAGTTATGTTAATATGCATAGACATGTACATAGATGTAGAGATACTATTCATATATGCCGTCCGAGATACGAGGTACACACATGTACTCATGTGCATTTTCTTGTACTAGAAACACTCGCGCGAGCTTCGCGCGCGCTCGAGCTCGAGAACAAGTATCGGCGGAACAAGTGTGGGCCTCTTGGGCGCTGGAGGGGACCCTTGAGATGTCGGAAAGCCATCGTGGGCGGTCTTCGA